TGGGGAGCACGGAGCGTGCATTCAGTCAGACCGGCCGGGTGCCCGTCCTCCAGCAGCTCCGCTTCTCCATGGCCTTCCCTTTTGCACACTGAACGCAAGCGGACGTTTCGCCTGCTGTGCTCAGTCCTGGTCCTTTTATTTGCAAAACAAATGTTCTAAACAGGTCTCTGCCCTTCATGGCTGTGATCCTGGGGTCTCCTCCAACCCTGAGAGCACGCCTCCCCCAGGTCTCGCCATCTGGCCTCCAGACAGTGACGTCTGTAAGGCTCGCTGTCTCAGGAACTCGCACTTGTGAAATGAGCTGTCACCAGGACGGGAAGAGGCTGAAGATGCCCCAGCAAAGGAGATTCCTAAAGGGTCTCCATCCTCAGGAGGGGCCGGTGCTGGCCGGCTTCAGTGTCTCCACTGCTCATCTGGCCCGCAGTCCCCGGCGACCAGGAGACGACACAAAGGGGGCTGGGGGAGGGAGGAAGTGAGTGACTGTCACCTTGGAAAAATGTGGACTCATTATCTGAGGCCATTACTCCAGCCGCCAGCCCTGGGCCAGCCTCGGGCCTGGAGGAGGGGGTGGCCCTCAGACCAGAGAGAAGGCGGTATGCTCATTCTATAAACAACTGGTTAGAGTTACAATGTACGGATTCTGCAGAGGGTGTGGGGCCAGAAAAAGGGAGGCTTTTGGCTTTCTGGTGCCTGAGGGGGCTGTGAGGAGAGTGCTCAGACTGAAGGGAAGAGGGAGGCACGGGAGCAGGAGAGCAGGGCGGGCCCAGGTGGGGGAAGGCGATCTCTGTTGGTCTTGGGGGTCCTGTCTTAGGAGAGGAGGCCCAGGCTCCAGCGCCGTAAGTACAAACTTATTGCCTGTGAGACGGCTGCAGTAGAACGAATCCTTCCGTAGAGAGAACAGACACTGAGCCTCTGGTTTCCCAGCTCCTGTGGAGGAGAACTCACTTTCCTCCCCCAGCCTGCTTGGCCGACAGCCTGGAGCTGCTGGAAGGTACCTGGCCCCACGCTCAGGGCCAGTGGCCCCGGGATAAGGGGAGGTGGCCACCTGCATTTCCACTCCAGCCTCCTCGTCCCTTGGGAGAAGGTACGGTTTCCCCCCCCTAATTATTGTTTTAAGTGCTCTCATAAGTGCGTATTTCTGCTATGTGAAGGCTCAAAGGGATCCTATCTTTGCTTTCACCTGCCCTTCCATCCAAAAGAGAAGGAAATGGGGAGCCCCATCCCGGGCCAGCCTCCTGGATCTTGCCTTAGGCCGGGTAGCTGCCTCAGGGTATCCTGTAAGGTGGGGAGTTTGGGGGGGAGGGTGCATGCAGACCCCTGAAGAGCAGCCCCTGCAGATGCGGAGGGCTGGGCCAGGCAGGGGCAACCTCCCTCACAGGGTCTCTGCCAGGAGGGTGGCGTTGTGCATGCACCTCCTCCCTCTGTCCCCCAGAGGGCGCCATGTGCTCATGCAGTGCCCTCTCCCCACCACTGCCAGGACCCAGGCTGGGCCTCCCACTGCCCCACCTGGGCTCCACCCGGCAAGGCTGGGAAAGGGGCCTTTTCTGACATGGACCCTAGGAGGTCTTCATGTTGTCCCCCCATTCCCACAGCCACTTGGTCTGTTTCCCAGTGACCTGAGCCATTTACTTTGCTCTACAGGCAGGCACCCCTGGACTTTGCACCTAAAACAAACTGGGTCTGGAAACCCTTGGGCCTGAGTCACCGGCTCACTGTCCTCCCTCCATTACCAGGTGGCTCAGCAGCTTCTGGAGGCAGCGACCACCAAGGGACAGGTGCCCACATCCGACCACGACCAGAATGGAGAAGGCCTGCCCCCACCTCACTGGGCCCACAGGTTTGGACTACGCAAGAGTTTACAAGCGACTATTAGGAGGACCCCAACAACAGCTCCCACACTGGGGCTAGGGGAGGGGTCTGGGCTCGGGAGGTCAGAAAAGCCCCTAAACCCCTGGTAGGCGTTTTCCTCCTGTCATCAGGCCCTGGTCCCTCTAGGCCACATGTGTCAAACACAAGGCCCGCGGGCCAAATCCGTCCCGCCAGGCCTTGCAATGTGGCCCGCACCGCGCTGTCATCACTGCACTCCGCTGCTTTTCCATCACAATGACAGTTTATGACTCTTCAGTAAACCATTCGGCCCGCGATTTAGGCTGGATTTTAGATTTTGGCCCCTTCTCTGATTGAGTTCGACACTCCTACTCTAGGCAGACACCTTTTCTGTCCAGTCAGTGGCTCATAAGTGCTTAACAAACGGGACCATTGTATATTACCAGCTACTTCATTTGACAGAAGAAGGAAACTAAGGCCTAGCAAAGGAGGTACAGTAAAACCTCGATATAATGGACTGATTCAGGTGAGGGGGTGTCCCTTACAGCCGAAAGCCTGTTACATAATAAAGTAGGTTTTCTGATTACGTGTTAAAAAATTGATATTAGTTTAGCTGTTGTTACTTCATAGACATGTTTGTATAATTATAATCCTAGATGAAAAGTTCAGTTTCACAGAAGAGTTTCCCATCTGTATTCCTGTAATTTTAAATTTATACCGAATAGGTCTAGTTGGCGTGTGCTTTCACCGGGAAAATAGGTGCTCCCGGCTGGGGCGTGGCTTAGTGCATGGGGCACATTGGCTGGCACACGTTAAAGCTGCCGGAAGGCAGCCACGGAACGGCAGAGCCAGTTACTGTAAGCGAGGCGGTGTAATCACATGCTAGTCGTTTGCTGAACATTGTTTCTAAGCGGTGACTCTTGGGTTTAAATATAATATATAGACTATAGTTGTAGATGGGTAATGTTTGTGTCAGTGAGATTACTAGTGTTTTTCCCAACATGTGGCTTAATTGCTAAAAATTTGTTAAAATAACAGTGAATAACAAAAAAGTAACCCTGCTAATTTAATTATAAGCAAATCTTGGTTAAAAGCATTTTAAAATTAACAGGACGTTAATGTTCACATGTGACACACGGATGAGAAACTTTCTCCTTTAAATTGAGGTCCGTGAAATCGAGGGTTTTACTGCACCTGCTTCATGCCGTGGCGTTGGCAAGGGTAGGACCCGGGCTTAGGCCTTTGTGAGGCGAGTGGGGGCACCGCATAGCTTTTGGTGGTTTATTATTATTATTTTTATTTTTTTAAAATATATATTTTATTGCTGAAACTGGTTTGGCTCAATGGATAGAGCGTCGGCTTGGGGACTGAAAGGTCCCGGGTTCGATTCCGGTCAAGGGCATGTACCTTGGTTGCGGGCATATCCCCAGTAGGGGGTGTGCAAGAGGCAGCTGATCGATGACTCTCTCTCATGGATGTTTCTAACTCTATCTCTCTCCCTTCTTCTCTGTACAAAATATATATTTTATTTTATTTTTTTAATATATTTTGATTTTGTAAAATAAAATATATATTTTATTTTATTTTTTAAATATATTTTATTGATTTTGTAAAATATGTTTTATTTTATTTTTTAAATATATTTTATTGATTTTGTACAGAGAGGAAGGGAGAGAGATAGTTAGAAACATCCATGAGAGAGAGTCATCGATCAGCTGCCTCTTGCACACCCCCTACTGGGGATATGCCCGCAACCAAGGTACATGCCCTTGACCGGAATCGAACCCGGGTCCCTTCAGTCTCCAAGCTGATGCTCTATCCGTTGAGCCAAACCGGTTTCGGCTGGTGATTTTTTCTCTTCTGAGAGATAAGAACCTGAGTGACTAGGGAACCGGCTCTGGGTTCTCGTCCTGCTCCTACACGGACTTCTCCCAGCTCTGAACTCTGAGCAGCTCTACCAGGAGCGACGAGGCCAGGGTCATTGTTCACGGGAGTTTATTGTTAATAAAACCATAGTACATTTACAATAAGTGACATTAATGTACACAGTATCATACAATATTATAGCAATAAAATACGCCTCTCCTCTGTACATCCAGCTCAAGCAGCTAGTCGAAAATATTTCCCAGGATCGCAAGCCCCGGCGGCTTTCAAGACACCGCCTGAAGCGCCCAGGACTTTGGGTGAATAAATAGTTTCTAAGGTGCGGCCGGACAGCTTGGGAAGGCTACACCCGAGTAGGCTGTCCAGAGCGCCCCCCCAGTGTCTGGTCCATAAATAGGACGCGTGTCCAGGCCCGATGCTGCTCTCCGCCCAGCAGAGCCCGGAGCCTGCAGGCCGGCAGGTAGGAGAGGGGAAGCCCTTTCCCCCCAGCCTTCCCCTTCTGCCTGGTCCTGCAGCGCCCGTCCCTTAGCTCCCCGAGACTGGCAGCTCCCAGTGAGAAGTGTGTGCCCCGCTCCCCGTCCAAATTAAAGGACAGTTCGCTTGAGAGCTCTGCTTCCTGAGCCCACAGAGACAGCCTGGCCCCAGGCCTGGGGGATCAGGCCCTAAACCAGCAGCAACAACAGGAGCCGAGGCCACCGGGCTCCGTCGGAAAGCTCAAGGCATCAGCCGGGGAACTGCCTTCTACCCCTAACTGAGCAGGTTGGCGGTCCCCAAAAGAGGCCCTCTGTGGGCCCAGAAACCAAAGAAAACGCAACTCAAAGTGACCCTGTGTGCAGGCCCCTCAGGCCTCTGGGAGGCCCGTAGCCAGCCTTTCAAAGGCACGACCTTGAGGAAGAGGTTCAGAGACTGGACATGGAGGAAAAGTATTGGCTTTGGAATGATATGGCCTGGGGCCCAGACAGAGTGTTTATCCTATACATTCATAGGAAGCCAGGAGCCAGGGCCAGGCTGAGCTCACTGTGGTCCGAGGAGCATCCTGGACGCTGCTCAGAGCAGAGGGGAATCAGGATCAGCCGCCCGCCGCGGAGAGAAGGGGCGCACAGGGGCGCACGAGGTGAGTACACGGCGGCTCTCCGGGTGCAGAGGGCCCCCTGCTGGCCACAGCTGCCCTTTCCCGTTACTGGTTGAGCGGACAGCTCTGGGACCAAGGGGTTGAGGGTGCGGCTGCCTGGTGACAGGTGGCTCAGGGCACATCTTAACTACCCAAGGGCAGACAGACACCAGAGGGAGTCTGGGGGAGGAGAAACAGCTCCGTGTGCCTGGCTCCGAGAGGTCCTAGAACCAGCCCCGCAGGGGGGCTCTGGCTACACTGTGGTCCAGTGCTCCCACCTTCCCCACCCGCCTCACACGCGGGAGGTGATGTAGACGGAGTGCACGCGCTCGGCCAGCGTGCTCTGCAGGTCCTGCAGCGGGTCCAGGCCCTGCACCTTGCTGCTGCGGCCGTAGATGAGCTGCCGGAAGGAGTCCTGCTCCAGCAGGGCCTTCATGTGCTTCAGGAAGAAGCCCTCGCAGAACAGGGCCAGCTCCGGGGCGTTGTGGATCTGCGGAGACGGAGGAGGGGTGAGACCCACGGGCCAAGGCCTGGGGGAGGCACGCCCTGTCTGCAGCTTGAGGTGTCCTTCCCGCCCCCTTATCGGAGTTCCTTCCCGAAGCACCACCTTCAGGTTGGACTGCCGGGGTTCCAATCCCAGCTGCACCACCAGGAACGTCTCAGGCCTACTGTCCCATGGGGGTGTGTACTGAATGGCCTTATCCCCATTGGAGTGGAAGCTCCTACTAAGGCCAGGGACTGTCCACTGCCGGGTGGACATGAGGGGTCACGAGGCAGATGCTGAGGAACTTCTAACTCAGCCGATACCGAGGGATTGCTCTGGGCGCCAGGTTCCGAGGTCATCCCTGCACCGCGCTCTTAGAGCTGATGCTCTGCTCTGGGGGATCGGAGGAGCCAAGGTAACGGCACAGGCTCAGCGCCGGGAGGAAGCGGGTGGCAGCAGCAGCCTCGTGAGGAGCGTGGGAGGGCCCTCCCAGAGGAGCTGGAGTAGGAGCAAGCTGAGGAGACAGGTGGCATGTGGCGAGGGGGCATCAGTGGGGTGAGGGGGCCTCAGTGGGGTGAGGGGGCATTGGAAGAGATGTGGGCAGGGCCCCAGGGGCCTCGTGAAGCTTGGCGAGGGGTAGGATTTTAGTTAGCCTGGAGGCAGAGTGTAAGGAGGGGAGTGAGGGCGGCTTGTACACTGTGGGTGAGCGCCAGGAAGTGCGGAGGGGAGGCACCAGCAGTCAGAGGTAATGGTGGAAACGGTGCAGGGACAGGGCCTAGCTGTGGGAGTTTTTCTTTCAAAAACCAGATGTACCTAATTCCCGAGTCTGCCCAGGCGGTCATGCCGTTTGCTGGGATGGGGGAAGGTGACAAAGACCAGGGTGGGGAGAAAACCGAGGCCCTGTGGACTGGATCTGATTCAGGCCCCACACGCGGGAGCCATGCTGGTCTCCCACGCTGCATGGGCCCCACCAGACAGCAGTGACCTCCGGTTAGAGGGCGTCACCCTCCCTCTGCTCTGTGCACTGCCCGGGCGGAGCGGAGGGCTGTCGAGGGCCTCACCTTGGCGTACTTGTAGGTGTTGACGGCGCTCTCCACGCTGAGGGTCTGGGAGCACAGGATCTCGCAGTGCCTCTGCAGGGCGTCCAGCTGGAACAGGCTGGCAGCCGACAGCAGCTGTGGGGACAGAGCACCTTGGGCATGTGGGGCCAGGCCGGGGCCGCCCAAACCAGCAGGACACATCCCAGCGCCTCGGCTAATTTCCCTTCTAAGCCAGCCGAGTATTTGGTGGGACACCCGGTGGCACAGGACGGACAGGTGCTGGCTGGGATTCTGACCTTAGGAGGACTGCAACACTAAAGTAACGCTTTGTCCACAGGGCCTGGCCCGGTGCCCGGCGGCAGCAGGCCCGTTTTCTAAGCGGGAGGAGGTGAGGGGGAGGCCCAGCCATCTTCTAATCCTCCAGGGCCTACCGCCCCCACCGGGAGCCCCTTCCTAACCCCCGGTGTGGCCAGGAGGTCAGGCTCCCTGGGCATACCATTCCCCAGCCCCAGAAGGGCACTTCCTGTCACACAAAGAAGGACCAGCAGAGAAGCAGGAGGGCCTCGCAGAGGCACCTCCCTCCCCTCCTGTCTCCAGAGGCTGATGATGGGCTTGAGACCTGGCAGGTGCCCTGACAGGTGGGCACTGGGCCCTGTGCCCGACCGAGTTGGCCGGAGCCTCACCTCCAGGATGTCGGCGGTGGGGATGTGCATGGATTCCGTCCCTCCGTGGTACAGATACTGCATCATCATCTGCAGCGAGAAAGGCTGCGTGAGCGCCAAGTGGGACCCGAGTGCCCGTGTCCTCACCCGGCCCCCCGAGTGCCACTCCAGCTGCCCCCGTGGACCCCAGCCAGGCCCCCGTCTGCAGGTCCTCCAAATCCCTCTCAAGCTGAGATTCAGGTGTGTGTTTTCCGTGGAGAGCAACCTCAGAAGTCCAACCTCAGAAGACCTTCCTCTCCTGACTCCCATCAGCCAGGGCATCTCCCGTGCCCGGGAGGGAAGATGTCTTCCCAGCCGGACACTGAAGCCCGAGGAGAGAAGCTGGCGTGGCTTAGGCCACTCAGGCCCCGTGACTCCCACACCAGAGCCCTCCCAGGGCACTAGGTACCCTGTTGATCACCTCCTTTTACCTAAATTCTAAATACGGGGCTGGGAGGGAGGTGGGCTCTGAGGGGATGGCAGTCCAGCCGGCTATCCTCAGAAGCCGGGACTCCTCGTGGAGGTGAGAGCCAGATCTGCGCCCTCCTGGAGCTGTTCCCCTTGGAAAGAATGTACAGAGCCTCTGGAGAGCCTCCGGAGTCGGCCCGAGGGCACCTAGCTGGTGGGCCAGGAGGGGAGCTCCATTCAGGCCTGCTGAGGCCTGAGTGACAGCCCGGCCCTCCCGCTGCAGCCTGGGGACGTTCCCAGCTGGAAGAAGGCAGTGTCCCGGGCTGGCTGAAGAAACAGCTCCAGCAGGGAGCTGGCAAGTGTGTGAGTAAACAGCCCCGGCCGCACAGTCAGGCTCTGTTTGGACGGGCCCCAGGCTGGGAGAGGCACCACGGGGTCTAGGGAAGGAGCCCAGGGAGGGGGCCTGGCCAGCCTCATGTCAACCCAGAGCAGGCCCGGGAGACACGAGTCCCTCCCCCTGAGGAGTGGGGCTCCATGGTGATCTCTGCACAGCACATAGTGCCTGCCCCTCACCATCTGGGCAGCAGCCAAAACCAGCGGCCCAGGGCTGGGGATGGAGCAGGTGGGCAGGAGAGATCTCCCAGGATTCTTTGCTAAAAGACGGCCTCAGGGCAGCCCCTCGGCAAAAGGGGCCCCAGGGCGTGGGCTGGGAGCGTGCTCCTGGCCTGGAAGGCAGTCCCTGCTGCATGTGGAGAGCTGGGGGCAAGGCCCAGCCATCTGTGCTGCCTGGAGGGCACGAGGATGCAGAGTCCACAGGAGCCACACCAGAGCTGCTCCCTCGGGGCCTTGCTGGGGGCTGGTGGCCGCAGGCGGAGGGGGATGGATTTGCACAGCCTGGCACTCCCCATTTCAGATGGGGCTTCTGGGAGACTGGCCTCCCCTTTAGGTCGCCAGCCTGTGCGGTGCTGGGCCAGGACCCCCACACTCCTTGCTTCTGGACCTCAGTCTAGAGACTTGCAGCCAGAGACCTGCAGTCGCCACTTTCCAGAAAGCTCTCAGCTGGGGTTCGGCTGAGGTCCCAGCCTGTCTCCTGACCTCGCCTGGCAGCCAGCTGTGCAGCTTCCATTATGCAACCTCTGCTGCTCTCCAAAGCGCAGAGATCAAAAGACCTGCCCTCGCTCTCCACTGCAGGATGGACTCCTGCCCTTCTCTGCTCGGCCAGCCGACTGAGTTCCCACACGTGTGACCACCACCCACCTCGGAGGTCGGGGTGCTTGCTGCCTGTGGTTCTGCGTTGCCAGCAGGCGCTTGGGCCCCCTCCCTGCTGGGGGAGCTCCCTGAGGCCAGAGGCTCGCACACGGGGCGCGTCTGTTCTCACACGTGTCAGTGTGCTGAGACCCCTCGCCAAGGGCTCAAGCCCAGCACCTGAGGTAGGCCCTCACACTGCAGACAGCCACCATGAAACAGCTACCGTGGCCTGGATGCTCTGGCCTGGCCCCGATGCAGCAGGATACGGGCTGCAGTGGAAGGCTGTGACTGACGCGCGGCCGCCCCCCGAGCGTGCAGCCCTGAGACCCACCCACCTGGAAGATGTGGTACTTCATGTCGCTGATCTCGATAGTTTTGCTGCTGTCGCCATCTTGTTCTGATTTATTGGTCATCAGCGTCTTGAACCTGGAGCAAGGGGACGAAACAGGTGGACGTGACTTCCCGTCACGGTGCGTGATGGCACCATCCATCACGGGGAGACGGAGCGATTTAAAAATGACTGCCGCGCTCCCGGAGTGATTCTCATTGAGTGACACTTCACGTCACCCGGCTGACTGCTGGGGCCAGCCCCGCTCTGTCCCCACCGGAATGACCATGATGCCCATGGCCAGGAGATGGACTTTTCGTTCCAGAATATTTGTTTTCTAATAAAGACGATGACCTCAGTGCTCTCGGCCCCGTGTCCCCTGTGGGCGGGTGGGCGGGCGGGCAGGCGGAGGGGGCTCTGGGATGCATGTTGGACCCACCTGTTGGACGCCGTCACCAGCAGGACTTTATGTGCATAGAACAGCTTGCCCTCCACGAGGAAGGTCACATCCGACATCTCCTTGTTGTTCAGAAAGTGGGGGTCTGTGCGAAAGGGGAGGAAGGAGGGAGATGACCCAGGAGCCCACCTCCAGGGCGCGAGGGGGTTCAGAGGGAAGAACAGAAACAGGCCAGGCCCTGGCCGCGGGGAGAGGAGAGCAAAGGCGCGAGGGAGGGTGATGAAGGCCGGAGGCAGGGCTGGCAGGTGGCGCCTCACCTAGTCGGGCGGGCAGGGTCTTGCGGATCTCAGGGATGCTGGGAATGGGGCTGTTGCCGTAGCAGTGCGTGAAGATGGCGGCCAGCTGCTGGATGACCGAGTCGTTCTGTGGGGAGGCAGAGAGCCCATTAGCCCGCTTGCCGGGGCGTGTATGCCAGGCTGATTTCAAAAGCTCGGGATTCGAGCAGCCGCTGTCCTCTGTTCCTTCTGGACCTGCCTCAGCACACGAGGATGCCTGTTCCTTCACCCCAGCTTCCCCAAATGGCTCTTCTGGCCAGCCTCCGGCCCAGACAAACGCGTGGCCTCTGCCCTCGGCAGCCAGGCAGCGCGAGTGTGCGTGGGGGTGTCCCCATATCTATGCCATGGTCAGTATGTGTGTCTACGTGTCTGGCTCAGGGCTGCGGGCTCTGGAGTGCAGGCCTCCTGAGCATGGGGTGGGACCTGCCCGGCGACACCCACCTTGCTGGTCTTGAGGATGGTGAACATGAGCTGCAGGCCCTCGGTGACCAGCTCCTCGTTGTACTCCTCCTCCTTGAGGGAGCCGAAGTCCCGCAGGAGGCTCTGCACCACGGAGTACCGCGACTGCGAGAAGGAGGTCCTCAGCGACTCGATCCACACGTGCAGCTTCCAGGGGACGCCTGGGCGGGCGAGAGGCCGCAGTCACTCCCTGTGAGCTCTCCCGACAGACCCCCGAGCCCGCCCCCACCGGCCCCTTTTCTGGAAGGCTGTCAGAAGAGCAGAACATGTGTGTGTACGCACGCACGCCCCGGGCCTCACCCAGCGCCCTCAGCTCCATGGTGATGTCCACGTAGCCGTGCTCCGCGCTGTAGTACATGGCCTCCTGCAGGGCCTTCGTGCGGGTCCGGCTCAGCCGCACGGGCCCCTCGCCGCCGCTGCCCTGGCTGGACGCATCGCTTTCCTCCACGCCCTCGGCCAGGATCTCCTCCAGGGACAGCACGTCCGCCTTGGCCTGCTGCGGCTGCGTCAGGAGCTTCCGCAGGACGTTCCTGTGGGCCAGCGACCGAGGGGAGGATGTCTGAGGTCCCGCCACGGCCTGGAGGCTGCTCTGGGACACCGCGCACAAAGCACTCATGATCTTGCCCACCAAGCAGGTGGGACCGAGGGATGGGGGGGAGAGGGGTCCCAGTGCCTCTCGGCCCCAGCAACTGAGGGAGGCGGCGGGGACCCCTCCCTCCTGCCATCCTGGTATTGCTGAGTCCTGGGCTCGGGCCCAGCAGGCTGCCGTCCTGGCTGTGTGCCCTCAACCAGGTTGCTCCACCTCTGAGGCCTGACTGCTTGTCTGCAGACAAGGCGCCGAGCACCCTCTCCAGGAGCTCACCCAGGGCCAGTGACAGCCTCAATGCAGAGCTGACCCACAGCAGTCCGAGACGGCGTCCGGCCTTACACGAGTGTCCGCAGCACAGCCACGCGCATACGGACTCCCTCCCGTTAACAAGAACGTGAAGACGAGTGTTCCACAGAATTTGTTCACGTACGAACGTGTAGAACATCAGGCTCTAAGGAGCACGTCCCCCTACACTTGCCACTGCAGCCTGTGAGGTCGGGTGAGGTCCCGTGAACACTCATTAGGGGAGATGCACACAACGGGAGGCCCCGACCCCTGGTTCCAGGCCCCAGGTCCTGTCACGTCCTGAGGCTCAGGCCTGGGGCGGCTGGGGCAGGGCAGGGCCAAGGTCCCTGGGGGCTCACTTCCTCCTCACACCCCTCCCCACTCTGATGGAGGCCAGGCTGTGCCAGGCAGCCCAGCTCACAGCCCAGAGACCCCTGGCAGGACCGGGGTCACTCCAGAGAGTGAGGCAGGTGAGGAGGCTGCGATGGGGGAAATACAGGCGCCGGGTCGGTAGAGGGGCCGTGATGTGCAAGCTGGTCGCTGAGGGCGAGGATGGCTTAGGGGGTGAGGGTGGGGGCAGGAGCAGCAGGTGCAGAGGGAAAGTGGGGGAGCAGACCGCAGAGAGGGCACCGTCTGGCTTTGAGGTCAGTGTGTGGAACGGGAAGCAGGTGTCCACCTGGCCTCTTCCTCCTAATCACCTCCTTCCCGTCTCCCTCTGCTCCCCGGGAGCAGCCTAACGGCTCTGCCCTCAGCCTGCTGCCGCCCGTCACACCCCTGGGCAGGCGTGGCCCCCCACGAGCCCTGCCACCATCTGCCCCGGGCAGGACGTGACTTCCCAGAGCCCCGGAGCCTGTGGTGGCCGAGCCATCTGCTGGGTGGAACCGTCGGGAGCCGCTTGGCTCCAAACCTCCACCGAGCATGGAAGGGCCGAGGCCCAGCAGCGGCCCCACAGTCACAGGGCAGAGTCCAGGGAACCGAGACCTGCCTGGGGCGTCTGGAACCTCAGGCTCCGGTCCCCAGGCTGCAGGGGCCCTCCAGCTTTGGGGCCCTGGGCCAGACCCCCTTTCTGGTCTGGTGAGATTTCCAGCCACGCCCTTCGCTCCCCACTGGGGAACCCTGGCTCCCGGGACCTGGCTTGTGCCCTCACATCACGGGGGCGGGGGCCCAGCGGGTACCTGTGGCCGTGGGCCGCCGAGTAGCTGAAGCAGTTCATGTCCTCATGGAGGGAGGAGGCCATGCCGTTGGCCTCGAGCACGCTGAGGAGGGGGTCGGCGCCGCGGCTCAGCAACAGGCTGACCAGCTCGTAGTTCCCTGAGAGACAAGGCGGACTGAGCGTGTGCCCACCACGCACCGAGCGCAGCCAGGCAGCCAGAGGGCCCCGAGGAGGGTTTTGGGCTCACCCCAGGGGTCCCTGTGCATGGGTGACAGTGGGAGGGGCAGCGGGGCCCTTGCTGGGCGGGGCAAGGCAGTGTGTACCCACCAGCCGCAGAGGCGAGCTGCAGGGGCGTCTCCGCGTAGCTGTCCTCGCCGCTGTTCACCGCCGAGCCCTCCACGTGGGCACCGGCGTCCAGCAGCAACTGTGGGGGCACAGGGAGGGCATGTTAAGTGTGGGGGGCCGGAGGGGGGCTTGTGCCTCAGGAGGCTGCGGAGTTGGACTCCACCCAGCTCACCAGCAGCCGAGGAACCAGAATGGCAGAACTCCAGGTTCCGCTCAGGGCTACGAGTTTCTAGAATCTTCGCCTTCACCCTGGGGCCTTGGACCAGGCCTCTAAGCTGTGGGACCTCGGAGCTATGCCTGCAGGGACCCTCCGAGAACTCATGCAGAGAAAGCATTGCCTCCCCTCCCCAATCTGCTGAGGGAAACGAAGGCTCTGGGAGGCAGCAGGGATGGTGGGGAGGCCTGGGTGTCAGAGTCCGAAAGAGCCGAGTGCAGGCAACTCCACTCTGGGCCTCAGTCTTCCTCATCTGGAAAATGGGAGGGGGTCGCTCGCAGCATTGTTGGGGATTAAGAGAAATGGGGCGCCCCTCTCTGTAGGGGCTCAGTCACCGGTGGATCTGAGGAGGGAACTGGGGGGGCTGGGCACCTCCTTGCTGTGGAGACACCAGGAGGCCTCCCCCTCTGGGCAGGCCTTGCCAGGGCCAGGGGCAGGGTTAACAGATACCAGGCAGTTCCAACTGAGCTGGGCCAGCGTTGCCTTGGGCAGGGGTGGCGTCTGCACTGCTCCACCAGGTGACTTTGAGCTTCGTCTCACCTTTCCTGACCGGCTGCTCTGGAGGGAGCCACCTCCCGTCTCCTTTCCCCTCCCCTCTTCCCTGCAGGTTTCTGGAGACCAAACCCTCCTCAGAGCCCATGCTTGCAGTCTGGGGAAACCCCGCCTGCCTCTCACCTGGAGACCAGGTAGGGGGCGGGGCTGACCTCAGCCTCCTCTGCAGTGTGTACAGAGTGGGGATGCCGTCAGCAGGGACCATTGTCAGCGAGAAACCAGTCAGGCACCAGTGCCAGAGCCGTGCATCAAAGTGGTGGAAGCGGGGCACTGCCCATTGGGCGAAACTGGGCACCAGACCAGGCACGCCTGGGCTAGGCTGGCACTGCTCAGGTGCTTAGGAGGCAGCAACGGAAAAGCAGGCAGGATGTGGCAGCCAGCCTGGGACCCACCAGCTCCTGAGTGCCCCCTACAGGCCAGGCTGCAAGGATGATGGTAAACAGGCTGGACATGGCCCTGCCCTCAGAGGACTGACTCTCACTCCAGTGGACAGTGAGGTGTTAAATGAACTCCTGGGAAGCAAAGGAGCCTGGGAGTCGAGTGGCAGTGTAGCTGGTGCCCGGCTGGGTTCGATGCTGCTCTGCCCACAGCTTCCCTTTCTAGGCCCGAATCCACACCTGCCACAGCTACTGGCCAAGGTGGCCAACCATGTGGCTTAGCTCGACATTGAGCCATGCCAGTCGGAGTCCCGCCTCAGGAAAGTGGCACTCTGGGCGGCGAACGGGCAGAGGCAGACCTGGGAGGGCGCGGTGACCCAGAGGCAGCTCTGGGGGCGGGGGGTGGGGGGGCAGGGGTGGTTCGTGAGGGAGTAGAAAAAGTGAGGGGTCGGAACGATGGCGGAGAGAGCACAGCACATGTGCACAGATTCCAACGTGCCTGGAGACTCACCCAGAGGCACAGAAGTGCCAGGCAGGCCTGGACTGCTTGGACCTGGGCCTTGTTCCTGACCCCCCCCCCCCCAATCCCCACCCCCATCCTCACACAAAGCCCTCTCCTCCAGACAAACCAGGTGGGGCCCTGCCTGCTGAGCAGGTACTTAAGCAGCACCTCTGTATCCCAGCTCCGAGGCAATGGCTCATGGTGTGAGGCTGCGGCTCTGCTTGGGGCCCAGCCCACAGCACCGCACGCCTGTAGGAGCTCACCTGGACCACAGAGATGTGTCCGTGCAGCACAGCGAATGTCAGCGCCGTCCAGTGCCGGCTGTCGGGGTGAATGGAGGGGTGCCTGGGAGAGTTGCTAGGAACCTGGGGAAAGATCAGTCAGTCAGTGTTTCCTGGGTGAGTGACAGTCCCGGGCACCTGAGTGAGCGAAGGGGGTACCCTGCGGGGATGGTGACTAGGACTGAACTCGGGTGCTTTCCACGTTCCATTGGTAATGTCTGCCTGGAGCACCCTGTGGACAAGGCTCAAAAGGATGCTCGATTAGTGATGTCTGCCCTGGGCAGAGGGAGCACTTGATGCCTCAGAGGAAGGCAGAGCCAGAAGCTCTTGGGGGTGGGGATTAGGTTGATAAAAGGTAAAAGATGCCAACAGGATGGTGGCCATTCTCTCCACTCAACTCCCCCCCTTAGCACCCTCCTCTCAGAAAGCCCAAATCTTTGCCAACTGTGATCTCCATGCACTTTGGATTTCCATCCTGAGACACCTCTACCCAGTTGTTCAAAACGCTGCACCCAGCACGCAGCACGGCTGGTGGAGACCCCGTGGCGCTCCCTTGCTGGGTTGGGGCCTGTGTGCGGCTCTGGGGCTTACGCACCTGGATGTCCAAGTTTGCTCCCGCGTCGATCAGCATCTGGACCATGGCTTCGTCCCCAGCCGCACAGGCGTACATCAGCGGCGTCATCCCCTACGGGAACCGAAGGCAGAAGCGAAATGATCAGGAAGCAGAATGGGGGTACGTATTCCACAGGCCTGTGCCCCAGAACCACAGAGCCAGGGGTCCTGCTTCCCCCGCTGCTCATCCGAGTGACACTGTGCCCTGTGCCGGCCCCCTGGGGCCTGCGGGCACCTGGAGGGGAAGGAGGGGCGTTTGCATGAGCACGCAGGACCCCCTGATGCTGACGAGCACAGGCCGTGGGGCCGGACGCAGGTGCCATGGGGAGCTGTAAACCTCGTATGCAAGTTACCCATACCCCATCTGTGCCTCCGTTTCTTTATCTTTTTTTTTTTTAATTTAATTTTTAAAATGTTTTTTTTTTATTGGTTTTTAGAGAGAAAGGAAAGGAGAGGAGGAGAGGGGGAGAGAGAGAAAGATCGGTTGCCTCCTGCACTCCTCCCACTGGGCATGGAGCCAGCAACCCGAGCATGTGCCCTGACTGGGAATCAACCGTGACCTCTAGGTGCATGGTCCAACGCTCCACCAACTGAGCAGTTCCTGCATCTTGGGAACGGGAAGAGCATTCCTCAGAGGGTTGCTGTCAAGAGCGTGGGTTACTCAGTGCAGATTGCTTACTGCAGGGCGGCACTGCCTCGCCTGAGCTCAGTCACTAACGGCCCTGTCACTGCGGCTGCATTCAGCGGCCACCGCCCCGCCAAGGGGCCCTGTGTGTGCCAATCACTGTGTGACTGGTTTACATGCATTTCCTCCTTTAATCTCTTTTTCTCCGTGACACCCCCAGCTATTATCCCCATTGTACAGGAGAGGGGCAGAGAGGGGGGTTAACGTGTCCACGGCCTCACACGAGGACACAGAGCCGGTCTGTGAGGCTCACCCTCTGCAGCATCTCCCAGAAGGTGGAGAGGTTTCCTGTAACACCCGTGCTCCTGAGACGCTCGGAGCTCTCCCGGAGCTGAGCCCCCACCCCCCTACCTCCGGGGTTCGGGTGGGTGGTGCACGGGCTGCCTCCTGGCCGGGACCTTCTCCGGGGCCAGTAACAGCAGAGGCCACGGTGGAAAGAGTTATTCCTCAGCTGGATCCTGGCAAGCACTCGCCTGGAGCCCGCGCTGTTATTTATTAGGTTATTTGTGTGTAGACAACATCTCCTTGCCTCATAAATCCTTGCCTCGTGCCCAGAGATACAGCAATGGCCTGAGATTAATCATGGGCAACAGGGCTGTTTACCCACAGATCGCTGTGTAAATACCGAGGCCGAGGGACATGCAGGACCGGGCATTCGGAGGAAAGCCAACTCGAAAATTTGGCTTTGTTTTATCTCTTCCCTCCCCCCGACACACATACACACATCACACACACACACACACACACACACACACACACACACGCCTGGCTATTCTCCTCCACACATCTGTACGCGATTTGGAGTTTACAGCAGGCTCGGAGCCCTGTGAGGGGAAACTCCCTGTTCTGTGCTGGGCCGTCTCTACTTCAGGACCATAAAGCGGCTGATTAATAGACCCCAGGGATCATCGTCGTCGTCAGCATGTGGACAGCAAAACCCAGAATGACCGCTTGCTGAGCACTGACCACGTGCCAGAGGCCAATTCTCACCGTAACCCTCTGGGCAGGCACGTTATCCCCATGGTAGGGATATGGAGGCTCAGGCAGGAGCTTGTCAAAGGCCATGCTGTGACTTGGCACCCAAGCCCAGGTGTGTGTGAGGCTGGGCCTTGAGAGGAAGACCCCCCCCCCCCCCCGTCCCCAGCTGCCTGCACAGAGGCGCTCTGAACGCACCTGGTCGTCCATGGTGTTGACGCCGTCGGGGCCCAGGGCCGCGATCGCCTGGTGGATGAGGTCCGTCCTCCCGCAGTTGAGCATGCGGAAGCCCAGGTCCTGGCTGAACTTCTCGGTAGCCGCGCGGGCATCCAGCCGCCGGAAGGAGCTGAAGCAGCACTCTGGTCTGCGCGGGAGAGACGGACCTGTGTGAGCGTGACCGTGTGCGGACGCTCCACTGGGACACCCCTCGCGAGGAGCTGGGACACAGCTGTGCCCGCGGACATGTTGGCAGACGGGCGGGCGGGAAGGACTGGAGCTAGCAGGTGGAACAGCGGAGACGGGCCTGGCCGTGCTTGGTGACACGGGCACACACATGGCTGCTGGTCTGTGGCCGGGTCACAGACGTGCTTGGCACTCCGGGGAACGGGCCACGGCCCAGAAACGAAGAGCCCTCTAGAAGGATCTATGGGGGCTGCCCGAAGAGCCTGGCCTGGGCCGGGGCCACGAGAAGGCATCTCTGGGCTCCTAGCATGGTGTGGTGGCCAAGTCCCAGTTCTTAGCATCACCTTCTCCCCTCGAGGCTTCTTGGTGAGGCCAGAAGGACTGAAATGAGTGGGAACTGCCCAAGCCCCACTGCAAAAGAGCCCCCATACCCAGGGAACTCCCAGGAAACCCAGCATCTCCCCCGGGCCCCGCGGGCTTCCAGAGGGCGGCTGGGCCTGCAATGTGTGAGGCCACGGTGCCGAGAGTTTAACTTCCAGAAGGAGATGGGGCATCCGCTGGGAAGACAGAGGAGGCCATAACTAGGGTCTGGGCCGGTCAAGAATAGCAACAAAAGCTTCAAGGCTCTTGCGGGCCAAGCATGGCCACACGACCTCCCCTGAGACCGGGAGACCCCTCCGAGAGAGGCACATCGGGATGGAAACGAGGATCCCTCCCTGGGGCCACATGGACCTGCGTTCAAATCGGGGCACAGCCAGCAGGCTGACTGGGTGTCTCGGGGCAAATCATCTCAGCTCCCCTCCCTGAGACGTGAGCGTTAGAATAGCTCCTTCTTCTCTACGACTGTCATAGGACCGAGCCATGCACGTCGAGGAAGGCTCTGCGCCGTGCCTGCACTAGGACGTGCTCAGGAAAATGGCAGTTACAGCAAGAGAGGAGGGGACCCACTTCTGCCGCCCCCAAACACCCCGGAGAGCCAGATGGCGGGTGAGAGCTTTCCTGCCCTAACCCCGGGGCCTGGGCACCAGACGCACGGCTGCAGGAGAGGCACCCTCAGAGCAGGCACTCTGACAGGCCGCAGTGTCCGCGCCGCCCCTCCCAACCGCCAGGAGTCGGGGGAGGGGTGGCCAGGGGTGCAGGGAGCTGGGGCCACCCCGCCTCGCCGCCCCCACCCCCACCCCCCAAGCCCGTACTTGAGCTGCCGGGGCTCGCAGTCCAGGCCGGGCAGCAGCAGCCGGGCGGCCTGCCGGAGGTCACCGCTGTCCACGGTGAGGCTTCGCCGGTGCTCCGCGTAGGTGACGGCCACGCGCATCCACTCCATCAGAGGCGGCAGCAGCATGAAGGGCCTGGAGGAGGCAGCAGAGAGAGGGTCAGGCTCTTGCCTTTCACCAGGGCACACCGGACCACGGGCACTCCGAGTTCCCAAGCCCACCGGCCCGTTCCTGCCTCCTCCTGAGCACCAACCAGCTCACCTCTGCCCGTCCAGATACCGCTGATCCTTCAAGGCTCAGCTCCAGACCCCTCCCCAGGTCCCTGTCTCCAAGGGAACAGTCCCCTCCTGCTCCCGGATCCCCCAGAACTCTCTTCCCACAGCCAGCGTGCCTCTTCCTGCCTGGACGCTCCCTCATCTCTGATCCCTCCAAGCCGTGCCCAGCACGGGGCTGCCCACGCAGGTCCTCAGGAGACATGGGCTGGGGGACCAGCGGACGGCTGAGCATCGGGAACTCGGTCTAACGCACCCAGGTCCTCAGTTCGGGGCCAAGCCCCGTTTCTGCCCAGAAGAGACGGCACGTAACTGCCAAGAGCGTGGTGCTCACGCATCCGAGTGGGAAGCCAGGAATCCTTGGGAATGTGCAGATTCTATAAGGACCAACAACCCGTTTGTGCATTACCCATTGGATTACAAGTGCCCATTTGAATTCCCCCCCAAATAGTTCCTCCGTGATAATGCTACAAGGCAAGCTCAGCGGCACCCTGGTATGTGAGTCCTTCGCATCGAGGGGAAGGTTTCATGGAGACCACCAGCACCGGGGAAGAACGTGTACCGTGTTTCCCCGAAAATAAGACATCCTCCGAAAATAAGACCTAGCGCATGGAAAGATAAGACACTCCCTGAAAATAAGACCTAGCACAACTTTGGGAGAAAAAATTAATATAAGACACTGTCTTATTTTCGGGGAAACAGGGTAGGTGAGGGAAGAGTCGGTGGATTTGCCAGCCACCCTTCCCCATCGCGGCCAACGGCCAAGACAAAGCCCCAGGTGGCACCTTCCGGCCGCATGCGGGGAAACCAAGAGGGGACTTGGGAAGGCAGGGAGTCCAGTCAGGTGGTGCCGCGATTCATTCTGATCCGGGCCCCTCGGAGCCTGGCACATGGAAAGAACTCGGCATCGGTAACCTCGGGGGACGGGCCCATTTGGCCTCCAGTTCCCCACAGACAAGCTCTGTGTCCTCCTCGGAGCCACTCCTGGCGGCTCCTTGAGCCATCCCAGTAATCCTGTGGGCGTCCAATTCCCTGCCTTAGGTCTCTTCCTGCTCAAAACACCCGGGGTGGTTTCTGCTCTCTGAACAAACACGGATGAATATTTCCAACATGCTGACTCCCCCCGGGGCAAGGTGGTTCCTCTGCCTCCGGGGCGGTGGCTGGTGGCCGCCTGCCCACAAACAAAGCCGCCAGCCCCAAAACTGACCTCTTCAGGCCTTTCTCCGTGGCCTCCCTGCCCCGGGCCTGCGGTCCATGGGAAAGTGAAATGACAAGCAATTCCTGGGCTATCTCGGTAACGTGCTGCCTTTGGCCTGTGGGCTCCTGGTCACTGCTTCCTTTCCAGTAATGTCAAGCCCCCTGGGCACGCGGAGAAGCGCTGGCCCGCTTTGGACGTTCTGGAAAATCCCCATAAAAACTCCCTGGGCCGCAGCCGTGCCCTGACTCCAGGGTGAAGGGCCCGGAGAAGCAGGGCTGGGAAGGGCTGATGTTTGCACTGTCCCCGTCACTACGAGGTGCTCCCTCCAAAGGAAGAGGCCGCCTCCCTCGTCTGCCTTCCCCTAGGCTGTGCCCAGCGCGAGCCTTTCAGTGCCAGAGTGCAGTGTTGGCAGGGCCAGGGCCCGAGTACAACCTGCAGCTGCTCCCCGAGCTTCAGTCTCAGGATCCCCTTCGATCTCGAGGCCCCTTAAGAGCTTTTTTATTTTTATTTTTTTAATATATATATATATATATTTTACAGAGAGGAAGGGAGAGGGATAGAGAGTTAGAAACATCGATCAGTTGCCTCCTGCACGCCCCCTACTGGGGCTGTGTCCGCAACCAAGGTACATGCCCTTGACCGGAATCGAACCTGGGACCCTTGAGTCCACAGGCGGTCACTCTATCCACTGAGCCAAACAGGTTGGCCCCTCAAGAGCTTTAGTTCGTGTGTGTTATTCCATTGGTAACTACTGTATCAGGAATTAAAACTGAGAAAACAGTACAACATCTGAAGGCACAACCTCAGACCTCATCAGACACCAGTGAGAACGTAACACAACAGCGTGTCACATGCCTCCAGGAAACTCTCCTGGACCCTCGTACGACATCGGGAGTAAAAGGCACGGAACATGTTACAATGCAAATCATCTTGGCCCAGCGAGCTCCCGGAAAGTCTCCAACACCCCAGGGCTCCCTGGCCCGTTCGCCCAAGGTCATAGAGCAGGCTCAGCAGCAACATGGAGACCAGACCCACATGTCAGGAATCGGCTTCTCTTCATCTCTCTTTAAATTAATCTTTTCGATGAGCCCGAGTCTCTCAAGCCAATGGCCTCAGAAGGCCCTTCAGCAGGACCAGGTCTGCAAAAGCCATTTTCCCTCTTAAAAAAAATGGAAAGAGAATAAACTTCTTAAGGCCTTGGTTTTAAGAGGTCCCTGCAGCCTGGAAAAAAAAGCCCAAACCCTGCCCCACTCAGCAAGCATATGATTTATTGGGATTACAGTCCTATAAGCGGCGTCTTAACAACACAGAACAGGAAACACCTCTGACTTCCAGCTCAAAGGAGGCTCTGTTCTTTGGGGAGGTGGGCAGCGGCCTCGGGGAAAGACTCAGGTTGGCAGATGGGCCCCGTGAGCCCCAGGCATAGGGCCCCGCGCCTCCACCCCCCACCCGCAGGCTGAGTCCGGGCCAGCAGCTATGTGCCCGCCCACGAGGATGTGCGTAGGATACTGGGCAGGACCCGGATGTGCCCACTGGCTGGGCAGGGCCTCGAGACCTGGCGGAGCTCGGCCCTGAGAAAACTGGGCTGCGGTTTCTTAACTCCCACCTTGGGCTGGGAGCACAGAGGGCTCCGGGGTGCGGGCAGGCCTGGCTCCCAGGCCAGGAGGGTTTGGGGCGGTCCAGGATGCCTACGGCTGGCTCCTGGACAAGGTTTCCCCATCACCATCTCAGCACAGCCCGAGCTGGGAGCACCCTTAGCACCGCACAGGGACCAGCCCAGCGGCTGCCAATGAGGATCAAGGGAGGGGGTGGCCAGGGTGTCTGCTGGAATCCTTCCGATGACTTGGCCCCACCTTCAGTGGGCGCCGCTGCAGGCCCCGGAGGGGGGGGGGCTGCCCACAGCAATCACCTTCGCACGGACCTTGCTGCTCCCACGCCCCTCCCCGCCGTGCCCTCCGGGGCTGGGTGGCGGAACCCGCGGAGATGCCACAATGTCCCCAGTCCAATGACGGCACAGACAGAGGCTGCTCCGGGAAGGTCAAGGTCCCGAGAGCCGCCGCGGCCACTCACCGAGCTGAAATGTCGGCAGAGAACAAAACCAGCGCTGTCCCGCCGAAGTCAGACTGGATGCCCAGAACAAAGGAGGCGATGCTAGTCCAATTCACATCTTGGGACTCATTATTTTTCTAGAGTTGCTTGGTCAAACCAGAATGCTTTGGCTCAGCTGGCGTCAGAGCTGGGCAGGCATCTTCCTTCTGACCCCCAGGCCTATGTCCCCCAGCAGCCGCTGCCTCAGAGCCTGGAGCTACCCCCGCCCCCTGCCTCCCCAATCGCTTTGGGGACAGGTGACTTCTCTTAGAGCCGGGGCGTAGGGCTTTCTATGGGGAAAAGACACTTTTCTTATTAAAGCTCATCTGGTACAGATTAGAGGCAGTAGATAAACTCACTTGTCCACAGACGCACACGGATATAAATTTAGAATACAGTCAAGCCGGGACCAGCTGCCTGCGACTTCCCTGCCTGGGCCCGGGGACTGCCCTTCAGGCCCCAGAGGAGCCGAAAAGTGAGCACTGGGATGGGAGGTGGTGTGTGTGACCATCGGGATGTCCTGGACAGGCCCCTGGGCATCCAGGACTAACAGACGAACACTAACCACTGCTGCTCACGGAGCATCTGCAGAGCACCCGGCTCGTATGCTTCTGGGCTCGCTGACTCCTGTCTACTGTACGAAGCAGGTACTGTGACCGCCCCGATCGGACACATGGGGACACTGAGGCCGGAGAGTGCAGTTAGCGGCCCGAGGTCATGCTGAGCCGGTAAGTGGCTGAGCTGGGATGTGACCCCAGGCAGAGTGCCCGCCCCTCGACAGTACACTCCGCTGCCACCCAGCCGCGCCGATCGGCCTGCCTTCCACGCCGGGCCCTGCCCCTCCACCTTCCTCTCAGGGGTGAGGAGCATCAGGCACAGCGATGATATAATCTGTCACCCAAATTATATTTCCCGTTGAGAGGGAAAAGGGGTGCTGTCACCAACAGCACCAGGACAGCAGGTGCAATGAGAGCCGTCTCAGGCAAACGGAGCATCTGGTCACCCTGGTGTGAGGGCACCTGAGTGCCAGGCAGTGGGAGGCCGGCCCTGCCCACCCCCCTGGAGCAGGTCTCCTCTCTCCCTCCAGCTAAGGGCATCCTCACAGCCCTCAGCCCATCTCGTTATTAGTTTATTCGTTTGGCTTTTGTCTGCTGCCTTCCCCGGGCCGCAATTTCTCTGAAAGCGGGGACTGTTTGCTCACTGATGTTTCCCAGCCCCCAGCACAGCAACCCATGTTTGAAATCCTTGCCCTGACTGAGGCTGGAGAGGTGTAGTCAGTGGATGGAGCGTCGGCCTGTGGACTGAAGAGTCCCAGGTTCGATTCCGGTCAAGGGCATGTGCCTTGGTTGCGGGCACATCCCCAGTAGGGGATGTGCAGGAGGCAGCTGATCGACGTTTCTCTCTCATTGATGTTTCTGGCTCTCTATCCCTCTCTCTTCCTGTATCTAAAAAATCGATAAAATATATTAAATAAAAAATCCAATCTCTGAGTGTAGAAAGGTGCAGCACAGATGTTTCTCCCGGGGCAGCGCCCGCGGCTGCCCCTTTCCCGGGGGGTGGGGGGGGTGGGGGGGTGG